GCAGAAAATACTTAAGCGGTCTCTTTATATATATATATATATATATATATATATATATATATATGCTTTCTTGTGTACTCATTCGTTTTGCGCTCGCAAAACGTGCTGCGTGGAATACGCAAAACAAAGTTCTAATTTCCCGAACCGGAAGTGATATAGCTCAAGCGCCCTTGCTTTACATCTTGCCCAAACCTATCCTGTAATGGGAGAAGAAAACATCTTCGTGGGCATATACTAGCAACCTCTCAACTGGTCACAAGTGACACCATTCGGGTCACTATTGATCCCATAGACCAGTAGAATTTAACTGAGCAACCTTAGTAATGGTGTTCGAAGTGGTACGCCAGACATTCTAGATCCACGACATTGTTTTTCTGCCTGGTAGTCAGTCCTGCTCAGTGATTCACTGACTCGTGAGAGTCTGCCATCTTACACGTGATTTCCGGCCGTTATCAGATAAATATCGAATGTATTATCCAGGATGACCAATGACCGAAAACAGGTGTTTTCGACACGATCGTTCTTTTTAAAGTTTTTTTTGGGTGAGAGAACTCCAAATGTCTTTAGAGAAGGAGAGCTTGTTCACGTTTTCAGGGCGAAAACAACGAACCATTCCAACTTTGGTAATATTGACAAAGTCCCAGCGACGAGTGCGGTTATTCGAACAAGTGGTAAGCTGTTATACAGCACTAATTCTATTGTGAACAGAAGGAAGACCACATTTCGCAGTGTGTGCGGGTGCCCCGCACTCGTATTTGGAATAATGGGATTTCTCGTCCCTCTTATCCAAAACAAAGATGGTAAGATGTGATTCCAACTACTATAAAAAGGGTCAAACGAATAAAACCAAAATTACGGGGATGGCACTGACGAAGCATAAACCGGCAGTGTAGTTGTAGGTAGTACAGGTTAAGTAAGGATGGACACACAGGTGCATCCCATCTATCCAGAGGGTTAGTAAAACCCAAAACGGGAAGCCCGGGGGGAGTAGTACATTAATATTTCCTCGCAGAGACGGTGGCTGGTCATTCGACAGGAAAGACAAACGAGTGAGAAAAGCTAGTCTAGTAGCCTTTAACTGTGCGTGTAACTCTCGTTGCGAAACTGAGGTCGCAAAAATTGTTTTCTAAGTGCGGCAATTGCCTGTTTTGTACAGATGTAACACTCTACCTAAAAGGTCATGTCTCCCGAAAACACCAAACTGGTATGGTAATTACTAAGTGTCAGATTTCTTCACCTCGCTCTGGGCGCACCCAAAACTAGGCACCTTAGTCTCGGTAGGGTGGAAATATGATTCACATTGAGGCCTGCTGACGTAGTGACAAATTGATCTGCAGATCAGCACTACCATTGTCGCTATTGAAAAGTTTCTGTTTTTGGGTGTTGATTTATCCGATTCAGTCCGATAACTCCAGGCAACGAAGGAACTAAGCCAATAATTTTCACCACGCCACTTCTTCCTGTTCACGACTGCATCTCACTGTTACTTTTTGGGATACTGAACTTCCCGCAGTTTATCGACTGTGGTTCAAATGTCTTGCCATGTAACAACCAATACTCTGATTCATGTATGGAACCAATTTTTACCCATCCTGCTGGAATAATTTGGAGTAGGTGTTGTCAGTTGGAGTTGAGAAAGCTGCAAATATGGCCATCTACATCGCCAAAAGCTGGGTTTTTTGTTGTGAAATCATGATAATTATGTGTCTAGTTAGTTTTCTGATTCCACTAAGGTTGTAAAGATAGGAACGTCCTTGCAGGATGAGTGTACGAGATCAGTCGACTCCATGACTAAGATGGAACAAAGACTATTAACATAGGAATTAGGAAGTATCTATTGTAATGTCGTGAGGTCACGCATTTTAAGTATGCCATATTGGGGGACAAGTTTTTGGAACGAAATGTCCAAAGTCATCGTCTACCTGAGTAGACTCCCGATTCTTGTTTGGGTTGCAGTCAGTTACTGCGATAACTTAGGAACCTCGCTAATTTGCAGGATGAGATAGATATGTGCCTACTGGAATTGAAGACTGAACAACCCTGGAAACATCATAAACGAGAGATTCAGCTGCGTTCCAGGTTAGTCTCTCGCAAAACCGAATCAGTTTGCAAATGAATCTTTATTCGCCAATTTCGTTCAATTTGTTTTCAAGTAGAAAATAAGGTTGACGGAAACTCGGGGACTGTGCCTGCCTGATGAGCCCGGTCGTGGGCTGTCGACGAATCTTCAGCAACCTTATGAGTAGTGCATTGCGAATCCGGTGTGGGGTTCATGCCTCCTGGTCATTACAGTCAAATATGCGAAAGAAAAATATAAACGAAAGTAATACTTTTGCCTGTGATGTTTGGAATTGTTGACGCTTTGGCTGCACACTATAAATTTTCCCTCAACTGGACTATTGTGATGAGAAGTTAAGTGGCTGCCGTCACTCATTGAACCTTTATTTTTAGGCGTGACAACGACCTTGGTCAGCGCCCACTCAATCTATAAGGTACTTCTATTTAACGGTGGCAAGCATGAACTGTAACAACCTGCTTAAAGTCCATAATCATTTCTACACGATTCGGGGTATATTCAAGATATTCCTTAGAACTATGAAAACAAACAGGATGCCGAAATTCAGTTTTACAATGATTATTCATCCGAAACAAACGAGAGGTATTCATCCCCTTTCTAGATCGAGTTAGCGGTTTCCAGCACAATGGTATGAGTATGGAAAACACAAAGCAGCAAAATACTACACTCGATAACAAGTCGGTGACATCCATTTTGATCCCAGAGTACTTCCACTTGTTTAAATGTGTCCGTTCCAGAAAAACGGTTCAATCAAATTTCAGTTCGAATGTCTGTCTGTCTAATGTGGCCAACCGCTGCTTTCTGCACTCCCCTTTTTACTCCATTTGAACCTGTATACAGCAATTAGGAATTTGTTCGTACAGCGATACTTCACCATCCACATGTATCCATCTCCCTCAACAATCGAATTGAGAGACATGTCCACAGGCCAAGGGTGGCCTTGTCGTCGATGCACCTCACACCACCCCTTGTGCTTACAGAAGCAATAGAGGACTGACACATTTGCTGTCTTTCCTTACGCCCGACGAACGAGAAACATCAGTTCACAAATTATAAACTAGGCAGAGGTCGGCCTTCCCCACTCTGGTTTGTTCTGTCTCTTTCTCCCTCTCTCTCTCAAACCGTAACCGTGTCGGTGTCACTACCACGCCCTGGAGACATGACCAAGCGCAACCGCTCCCACCAATACAAGTGTCTACAATCGGGGGCAGTAAGGGCATATGTGGGGTGGAGCAAGGGACAAAGGGTGCACACGGGATTTTATGTCCCACATAATCCTTCTGTCACAGGCTCGCTGGTATCCGATTTGCATAACTGCGACAAGGGTTCAGTGTATCCTAACCCGGTTCTCCAATCAAATGAGCAAAACAATCGAGTCAAATTTCTGAAAGAAAAAAGGTTTACAACCTTTCACAGTTCAGATAGTCGAAAGTATACCTATCCGACTTGGACACTTCATCAGATATTTTGTCACCTTACAATGAGTGGACCCGGAGGATTTTATTCCACATTACATTTTTCACATTTATTTGGACCACCACCACCGGATATTTTATTTCCTCATTTATGGAATACTGTTCGTACAGGTGCTGAACGTCACTCCCCATCACATACTCCAACCTCTGAATCGACTGTACAATCAACCAGTTTCCCATTCGATGAAGGCCGGAGTGAGGTCCATCACAGTTCATTCAATCACTGGAATATTTTCACTGGTCCTGTGCCCACGCTTGATCTGGAAGTGCCGAACAGAATGGGTCCACAACGGACGGTCTCATCGCACTCTGTCATAAATTCTTCTGGAAAGTCGTTCTCAGTGGAACAACGTCTTGGAGCACAACTCGATCGGGGGACTCTCCACACTGGAAAGCGCGGGTATTGTGGTCACTCATCCTCACTTTTTGAGGACAAAAACCTATCTTCTAGGGAAAAAACGCAAAGGTTATCTAGGAGTCTAGAAAATCAAGCTGGCCAGCTCAATGTGACATCTGGTCCCAATGGCAAAACATCCACAGCAGCCATACACAATGAGTGGAATACGCTAAATTACGCCGGTGACCAGAGTTTACGCGCAAAGCTTCTAGCCAAGAACTTCACAAAACAAACTGCGTATCGCTCGCCCAACGACAGCAAACAAGCTGACCTGAGGAAACGAAGCAAAGCTAGTGAAGATGAGGAGGATGAAGCAGATGATGACGAAGATGAAGAGGCCGACGAACTCGACCTCAATTCGAAGTACGGTCAGAATGTGGAGTGCGTAGTGTGTGGAGATAAAAGTAGCGGGAAGCATTATGGACAGCATACGTGCGAGGGCTGCAAAAGCTTCTTCAAGCGTTCAGTGAGACGTAAGCTGACCTACACTTGTCGCGGTACACGACAATGTCCCATTGATGTGCATCATCGGAACCAGTGTCAATATTGCCGATTTCAAAAGTGCGTAAGGGCGGGAATGCGCAAAGAAGGTGAGTGGTAAACAACAGTTCCTGCTTTGAAAGCGTCTTGTTAACTTGCGGTGGGGGTTAGTTAAACAAAATTGTTATTCCTTGTAAATTGAAGAATGGCTACTTCTGTAAGCTGCAGCCATCCTACAGCTGCTGATATCACCAAGTCTCCCTTAATTTAGTTTATCATCTTAATGCGACCATTCCATTCAAAAGTCGTAACGCAAAGACCAGGGGATTCATGGAAAAGAACTAGACACAGTGGAAAAATGGTCCATTCCAAATAACGTTGAATAAAAAGATAAAAGTCGGAAGCATTCAGGATAGTCTAACCACCACCACCACCAGGTAGTGATGGTTCTTACGGTATTCTGTGCCGTTACTTTTATGGAACAATTCGATAATCTGTTTATGTAACTACATATGATACATATCATAACTGAATATCTCATTGCACTTGGTCCTAGTGTTTTACGTTTTTGTTATAACAAAGCACCTTAAACTAGACGTTCATTTGAGTCTCTCGTGAAAAGCAAATTGATTTGCAAATGAGTGTATTTCTCGAAAACAGTCCAATTTGGGTTCAAGTAGACCATAAGTTTGACGGAAACTCGGGGACTGCGCCTACCTAATGAGCAACCTTGTGAGCAGTTTCCTTTATGAAAAAAGTACCTTAAACCTGAAACGTACCAGTGTTTACATAGTAACTTGGTTGGATCAAGCTGCAAACTATTTGGGTTAATCCAATTTTAGCCGGCATATTTGGCGCTGTGCTTAGCCTATCTTTACAATCCTTAAACTTCCCACTTCATAAACACTAAGCGACATTTGATTGGTCAACATAAGCTGAATGACATGGTGCTGGAAGATTATAGATATGTATTCCTTTCATAGGGACTGAGTTGTACATAAATCGCCATCTACCCACGTAACCTGGCAAAGTCTTCGTAATATACTAACCAGCAAAGTTTCAACCTTGCTTCCAATTTCCATGTAAACAGCTGTGCAACAAGGACGGCTACCGTCGTACCCACTCATCTATAATTCGTACTATGGTACTGCAAGCTACCTGGGTCCAATGGCAACGGCCATGAATTGTATGAACAACCTGAATGTGTCGAATTTCTACGCTCAGTTTCTCACCATGCTGCTCAGAGCGGAACCGGTATCTCATCGTCATTCGCAAGTCTCTCTGGCCTACTTACGACGCATAGGCGCTGAGTGGCTCTGTCTCCCAACAAAATCGGACAACGAACCACGAGAGAAAAATCTGAAGCACGAAGGACCTATGCGCCAACAGAATACCAACGGGGATTTGGCTGAGAAAGAACGAGAAAAACGTTCGATCAACTGTGATACCGATTTTGCCGTCAGAGTGATCTTGGCTTCAGTGGAGTGGGCAAAAAATATACCACTGTTTACGGGACTTCCGGTAAGCATGTTTATGTGTACTCATCCCTGTACTCAGGTCCCTAGTGAAATTCATTAAAAATCTATCATTTATTAAACAATTGAGTGTAGGAGTCATATAATATATGTTTGTTCAGTGAAGTTTGCAAGGCGGCCTCATTAAGCCCTGAATGGCATATTTCAACCTGGTGTGCCTGAATCAAAGCAAAGTTTATGAAGAATTATTCATTAGTTAACTAAAGTGCCATAAACATTTGCAGGCCTTGAAATTCGTCTTCCAGGACCCAATAGTGTACTAGATAAATGGTAAGTGTTATCACGATAAGTCCACATGTTGCTTTTTAGTTTCTTCATCTTGTTTTATTTCATCACTACTCAGAAGTGCAATATAATCTGCCTAGGTAATTTTTGGTCTTCAGTATTACCACCGTCGTCGTGTAATCTCGTTTACCACCAAAAGGTATGTATCAAAAACCCTTTTTCCTTATGATGTGTTGAAGATAAATCAAGTATCGTCACTTTCTTCCTCCAGGCCATGGCTGGTTTTCCTGCCACGATTTCAAATGGTGTTTGCTTCATTCGATTTACAATATCCGGTTATCATATCTTAGCTGCGTTAAGTGGCGTTCGTGTTGCCAGTTTTCTTCCAGACTGTGTGACTGAGTACTTGGAGGTGTAAGCACCTCAGAATGCTTGCGGTTGGTCAACACCGGGGCCCCTCCCTCACCCACTCTTTCTTTTCTTTTCATTCTAAGGCTTTAAATTGAATTAAACTTTGTGGTTGCACGGCAGTGAAACATCGGTGTCAACACTAATGATGATGATGATGATGATGATGATGCTGTTTATGTAACTACATATGATACATATCATAACTGAATATCTCATTGCACTTGGTCCTAGTGTTTTACGTTTTTGTTATAACAAAGCACCTTAAACTAGACGTTCATTTGAGTCTCTCGTGAAAAGCAAATTGATTTGCAAATGAGTGTATTTCTCGAAAACAGTCCAATTTGGGTTCAAGTAGACCATAAGTTTGACGGAAACTCGGGGACTGCGCCTACCTAATGAGCAACCTTGTGAGCAGTTTCCTTTATGAAAAAAGTACCTTAAACCTGAAACGTACCAGTGTTTACATAGTAACTTGGTTGGATCAAGCTGCAAACTATTTGGGTTAATCCAATTTCAGCCGGCATATTTGGCGCTGTGCTTAGCCTATCTTTACAATCCTTAAACTTCCCACTTCATAAACACTAAGCGACATTTGATTGGTCAACATAAGCTGAATGACATGGTGCTGGAAGATTATAGATATGTATTCCTTTCATAGGGACTGAGTTGTACATAAATCGCCATCTACCCACGTAACCTGGCAAAGTCTTCGTAATATACTAACCAGCAAAGTTTCAACCTTGCTTCCAATTTCCATGTAAACAGCTGTGCAACAAGGACGGCTACCGTCGTACCCACTCATCTATAATTCGTACTATGGTACTGCAAGCTACCTGGGTCCAATGGCAACGGCCATGAATTGTATGAACAACCTGAATGTGTCGAATTTCTACGCTCAGTTTCTCACCATGCTGCTCAGAGCGGAACCGGTATCTCATCGTCATTCGCAAGTCTCTCTGGCCTACTTACGACGCATAGGCGCTGAGTGGCTCTGTCTCCCAACAAAATCGGACAACGAACCACGAGAGAAAAATCTGAAGCACGAAGGACCTATGCGCCAACAGAATACCAACGGGGATTTGGCTGAGAAAGAACGAGAAAAACGTTCGATCAACTGTGATACCGATTTTGCCGTCAGAGTGATCTTGGCTTCAGTGGAGTGGGCAAAAAATATACCACTGTTTACGGGACTTCCGGTAAGCATGTTTATGTGTACTCATCCCTGTACTCAGGTCCCTAGTGAAATTCATTAAAAATCTATCATTTATTAAACAATTGAGTGTAGGAGTCATATAATATATGTTTGTTCAGTGAAGTTTGCAAGGCGGCCTCATTAAGCCCTGAATGGCATATTTCAACCTGGTGTGCCTGAATCAAAGCAAAGTTTATGAAGAATTATTCATTAGTTAACTAAAGTGCCATAAACATTTGCAGGCCTTGAAATTCGTCTTCCAGGACCCAATAGTGTACTAGATAAATGGTAAGTGTTATCACGATAAGTCCACATGTTGCTTTTTAGTTTCTTCATCTTGTTTTATTTCATCACTACTCAGAAGTGCAATAAAATCTGCCTAGGTAATTTTTGGTCTTCAGTATTACCACCGTCGTCGTGTAATCTCGTTTACCACCAAAAGGTATGTATCAAAAACCCTTTTTCCTTATGATGTGTTGAAGATAAATCAAGTATCGTCACTTTCTTCCTCCAGGCCATGGCTGGTTTTCCTGCCACGATTTCAAATGGTGTTTGCTTCATTCGATTTACAATATCCGGTTATCATATCTTAGCTGCGTTAAGTGGCGTTCGTGTTGCCAGTTTTCTTCCAGACTGTGTGACTGAGTACTTGGAGGTGTAAGCACCTCAGAATGCTTGCGGTTGGTCAACACCGGGTCCCCTCCCTCACCCACTCTTTTCTTTTCTTTTCATTCTAAGGCTTTAAATTGAATTAAACTTTGTGGTTGCACGGCAGTGAAACATCGGTGTCAACACTAATGATGATGATGATGATGATGATGATGATGATGATGACGATGATGATGATGATGATGATGATGAGCTACGTTGAGTCCGAACAGTTAGCACTAACATGCCATCCAGGTAGCTTGTCGTGATCATGAATTTCTTTAGCAGCTACTAATGTCACTAGTTCAGATTGTGACACATGAGTCTCTGTCATGAGCTGCTTCATGTCGTAACGACTAAACCGGAGGACTTCTCTCAGTTCTCATGATAGAGTTTATTATGAGACTGATTTCAACAAGCCTGAGAGTGCGAGTCATCTCCCGTAGATAAGACTACGAAAAAGTTGGAGGTCTGAACACCTCTTGCGGACTGGATCTCTCATGATTACGATACACCATATTACTTTGACGACAAAAGCTCTTGTAGATTTCGCATGGGAATAATCTCCCTGCGAATGATCTCTCACAGAAGATAGCCCCATTCTCACACACTCGCGCGGAACCAGAATACACTGGACTTCAACAAATAAAGAAGAGTGCCATATCTGACAACTACGATCCATAGACTAAAGTCGTCTTCAGATTTCAGGTTGGCGCACCACCGTGTGATTTATCCAAGAGTAGTTCGTTCACAGTAGGAGTAATGGGAGACGACTAGGTTTCTCAGAAGTACCAGATAAATACCACCAGTTTAAGATATTTGGAGACCCCGACCATCATTTATCTGTTGGTCAAAAAGAACGGTATTCTAATCTACTTATCCTAGTGAGTTTCAAGGTGCTCAGACCCAAACATGGTAACAGTAAGTAGAACAGATACTACACGAGGTTGTCACTTGACTCTTGCTTTCAGTTGAAGAGAGTGACACATGCAACCTACATGAATCAACCGTTATCTCTTTAATATACTATCTGCTTTTATCATTTACTTATGCTCTGTGTTTCTTTTCCGGTTGGATCAACAAGAATCCGATGAAAGACACAAGGAAGATGTCCTGGAGATGTAGTCTTACAGATACAGATATATCAATTTATTTTCTGTTTTTAAGTCCGAGAACCAGCTTGATGAAGGATTTTCTGTCTAATAACAGGTTTTACCGTCCACTTTCCCTTCGTTCCAAACTTAACTGTTTAGAGCTCCAAATGAATTCATTTTTATTGGATAAAACACTGTCAAGTGTATTGGACTGGATATCGACCGGAAAATTAACTCGGTGCTTAGCACAAATTACGGGTGTTTACATCGAATTTGTAAACTTAAACCGTTTCTGATTGGTTGGTCCTTAGGATAGTTCTTTCCAGATAAAATTTCTACTCCAACTGATAACAGGGTATGTCACCTACCTTGAATGAACTTGCCCAGTGTCACTAGTGAAAATATAAAACGCAAAAGGCAAACGCCCTCTACCTCGGTTATCATAGAATTTTGCACTGAAATGACTGCGACGACAATATATTACTCTGAGTCTTTATAAAACGGATGTGTTTATTGGCACGAAAAAGTTGTGCATTTTGGAATCCATGAGCTCAGATTTATTGATTATTTGTCACGTACACTTCCATTGCTGACTTCTGACAATCGATCAAACATAGGCGCCCTCATGAGTGCACAAAGAGATCAAATATTTCACCCGACTTCCTGCTCTCAGCCTCATATTATTGAACCGGACGAGCGGTTCGAATGGTAAAAAGGGAAGCTAGGCCACCATGAAAATCGATTTTACAAGAAGAACCAACTGCAATTCCTCCGTTTAGTAAGGCAGATTGATTTCAGTAACACTTAGGTAAATCAGTGTGACATTTGTATTCTGATATTCCCGATAGGTTGATCGACACGCTAATGTGCGACTGCTTCTTTAATGCGACTGGATTCACATTTTTCCGTGTCAAAGAGGAAAGAAAATATTTCACACAGTCCACACTTGAAAAAAATGTTTTTTGTACTTGAGTCTTATCTACGGGAGATAAATAAACTAACTGGTTTAGAACACGAAACCATGTTTTCTGACAAGCTTACCGAGTACACCAGAGTTACCATAGATCTACGTTCCCTGGTCTCAACATCAGTCTCATGCTCTTTTCTTTACTTGAGTCATTTTTAGTCGAGATGCTTACGTGGGCGTTCACCGACTACTGTACAATAAAACGGTCGTCATTTAGGACACAGTCTTCGGAATGCTGATGATGATATACTTTGAAACTGTCACTCCTCACACTACCGTCAGTTTATAAGCGGCCCAGAGGGAGAGCAACTTGAAAAAATGAGTAAAACCTACATCTGCGAAGTCGGTATTTGAGCAGCCGGTCAATACCTGTCCACGTACTGTGATTTCCGTAGTTGATTGATCGGCTCTATGTTGTGTCCGAGTGATAGTTAATCACTGATGTTCCACCGCTCGTGATCGAAGAGTTAATTGTTGAACCATTGGCCATAATGCAGCAGATCAGAAACTCTGAATTTTGGGAGACTGCTGGTGGTTCCCAATATGGACGACGCAGCTGTACAGTGCTTCTCGGTTCTTCATAATAGATTGAATCTACTGACAAGACGAAATCTTATTTCAAAACTTACCCGTTAGTCAGGAACGATCGGGAAAATTGACATCCCCGTAACTGCTATTTGGTGACATCGTTATCGTTTTTCATAGCTTTATTGCTCCATTTCTGTGTTATCCGAGGTTTCGTGCATGTGGTAAAGCCAGAGTCAGAGGCTTGCCAGACCACAGACTTATAACTGAAGTTGGCAGACTTTGCAGAAATATGTAATGAATAGTCTGTGGGTAAACTGTATGTGCTTACAGGGCTCTAGTTTCGATAGTGCACTTGTGGACAAAACCATCACTTATACCACTTACTGAAATCGGGAGTTTTCGTTACAAATATTCGAAATTTTTCTATCATAATCTTGAAATTACTGAACTGATGCATTGTCCTTTCAATAGTTTTCAAACTCCTTCGGATGACTCGTCGTCAGTTTCTTACGCGCAGATAGGTACATCATAGTCACTCGACATCTGATTGGCTTAGATTCCTTCATTCATATTTACCAGCCTGAAAATCATCTATTGAAAAATGTCCTTCACTGAACAGCTTGCTTTAGAGCCACTTTTGAGTATACTTAAACTATGTTCTCCATAGAAAACTATATTCTCAAATCGACTGGTGGAAGAACACATTGTGGAGCCGCACAGTTCCCTGATTTTAAAAATTACGCCACAGCTACCATTTACGAAGTCTTAGCAAGATAAAATAGACTGGATTTGAAAGCTGACTGAGCATTATGTTTGAGACTCTAAATCTTTTGTTTTCAGCCTGAACGTGAGTTTGATATACTTGTTATTAGACTTCACGATTAAGTATAAAATTTGGATACTTCTTAGCAGATAACAAAAAGAATTCACGAAATACAAAATGCCGTAGTAACTCTCTGTGTTGTTCTCTAAAATTGCTTTCCATGAGTCACCTAACTACAAGGAACTCATAAAAACAGTCGCACATGTGACTTATTTGGGTATTGATGCTGGACCATGGCAGGGAGCGCATAGCTCTAGTTGGACGATAGATGTAGAAATAGGGTGTAAAGTGATCTTGTATTACAATTGCCTCGTAAAGTGACACGGAACTTCTGAGAAACCTCATGAAACTGCAGTCTACGAAAGCAGTCATTTCATGAATCTGAACGACCTGGTTGTGGAACGAGTTTACTTTGTACACCGCCTTCAGCCGAAAAAATGTGTAAGATAGTACAGGATGCTACAGCATACAACACTCCAAAACGGCTTGACCAATGAATATAACCAAGGCAGTCTCAGAGTGACCATTAGGTCTTTCTGAGAGCTGAGAATAGGCTTAAAATAATCAGTCCATATAGTCTTAAGGAACTTCAATCTCTCTGGTCACATGCTTCGTGCTGTGACCTGGAATACTGAGTTAGGATCAACTCTCTAAGCTTTGTCACTTAAAGGCCCAGCTTTCAACGGTGTGACGTTGGAATCAACAACCGTTGGGTAAGGGTCATCTGGCCTAATGTAGTCTCCGAAGATGGATTTTGTGCACGTTCCCCAGCCTCTAGACCTTGCAATTCATTGTACTTTGGAACTCCACTGCCAGTGTTTTTCCATTTTGTTTCAGAACCGTTGATTTCGCCAACTATAATACTGGCGCTGGTAGATAGAGTTCTACGCTTAAGAATCGTCCGACCTGGTTGTGCAGTGAGCGAGTACTTTATCCCGCCGACA